CCTTTCCAAAGATTATGAGATTTTTGAGTCTTCTAAAACATTGTTTATGGAAGAACATCGAATACCCCTAGACTCACCTCTGGTCTCCTTGTCTCAAGATGTAATGTTATATAACCTGGTTAAATATATAAAAATACTTTCAAGGTTTTTTTTTTTTCCAGTATTTTTTTTAATGGATTCTTATGGCCGCAAGGTTTACCGAACATAAAGCAATTATAGCAGAGTACCTAATGTATCTAGAGAGTTCAGGAGAGTTGAAGCATTATCTGAGTGCATGGATGTTCTCTCATACTGTGAAGCCATGGGGTGGAGATTGGAGAGGGAGCTAGACCCAAGTGCATTAGGCATGAGTAATCCATAACTTGATGTTTTGGTATATTCTGGTAGGATGCCAAATTAGCCACCCTTGGGACCATGCCTGGGTTTACTAATATCGAAGTTTCTCCCAGAGAGTACTTCTTTCCTGTCCCTGAGGGAAGTACTACTGTGTGAGCCTGTAAGAGGTCTATACCTGTGACCCTCTCAGTAGTATGGAGGTCTTAGAAAGTGACAAAAGTCCGTGGCAGTTACTCAAGGATCCTCAGCTGTGAGGGCCAGCTGTGGCCTCCTCAAAAAGTGTCTCTGTTTACCTGCAAGGTCATTTCAGGAAACCTTTTAAACTAACCTATCCTTGTGTATTTCCATTCTCAGTGACATGTAGAAGGCGACCCTCTGAGAAAGAGAGCCTCTGACTTAAAAGCCGAGTCCCAAGGTTTTTGGGGGGAGGTATAGATACTTGGGAAAGGAAAGGGAAGAAACAGCAGAGGGAGGAGATTGGTCTCTGAGAAAACGTTCTTTGGAAGAGGTTCAACTCATCCATGAAAAGAACGGGCACAAATGTCTGAGCAAGCCACTGGGACATCAGTATTAGGGAAATTAAGACCAATCCCCAAAACCAGTTGATTTAGGCATCCCCCTGAGCAGTCTCTTTGGGTCCCAGTGAAGAAGTAAGAAGTCTCCTGAATCTGCAGAGTCCCCAGGGCAATGGAAATGGACCGATTTGTCAGTCTAGTTGATTCAGACCCCCCACTGCGTTCGTTTTGAGCTTCTCAACCTTGCTCATTGCTATTTTCTTTCCATTTCCTATTTTCCCTTCCAGAGGACTGAGCACTCTTTAAGCTCAAAAACATCTGAGTTATAATCTATGCATTTTTCTCCCTCAGCCAAATATTTATTTTTATTAACAACTATTTGCATATTAATGAATATGAAAAATGATGAATGCAAAACTGAGGAGCAAGCTTCAAGGAAACTTTGTTAGATGGAGGTTCCTAAAGGAGATACCTGAGACTATTTACATGACAGCCTGATGGAAGCTTGACCGAGTGCCTACAGGAGCGACCAAGCCCAAGGATGAGTTTTGGGAGATAGGGCTGACCACACTGAAGGCTCCTGAGACCAGTCAGCAGAAAAGTAGTGAAGACATTAGATATTGGACCTCTTGCATTGGTCCTCTGGTTTTCTTCCTATTTCTGTCCAGTTTTCTTACCCTGTGTCTTTTTACTCTACTTTCTGGGAGACTTTCTCAGCTTTATATTCCAACCAGATTTGTCTGTTTCTCCCTTCAGTTTGTCAAATTTTGCTTCATGTATTTTGAAGTTCTGTTATTGAGTATATATGTATGTATGTTTTTATTATTGATTTATTTTTGTTACAGATGTTTCTCCTTTTTCCCCCATTGCCACCCTCCTCCCGATCCCACACCCCCCTCCCCCAGCATTGTTGTCTGTATCTATTAGTTATGCATATATGCAGATAAGTTCTTTGGTTTATCTCTTCCCTCCCCTTGCCCCCCTCCTCTGAGGTTTGTCATTCTGAACCTTACTTCTGTGTCTCTGGGTTTATTTTGTTCATTAGCTTATTTTGTTCATTATATTCCACAAATAAGTGAGATCATGTGATATTTGTCTTGCTCTGATTGACTTATTTCACTTAGTATAATACTGTCCTGGTCCCTCCATGTCGTCTCAAAGGATATAGCTGCATTGTGTTCCGTTGTGTACATGTACCACAGCTTTTTTATCCACTCATCTACTGATGGACACTTGGGCTGTTTCCAGACCTTAGCTATTGTAAATAGTGCTGCTATGAACATGAGGGTACATATATTCTTTCAGATTGGTGTTTCAGGCTTTTTAGGATATATTCCTAGAAGTGGGATCACTGGGTCAAATGGCAGAGTATATATGAATTTAGAACTTTTGTCTTTCTGACCATTTTATCATTATGAAGTGATTATCTTTATCACTGTTAATACTTTTGTCTTTAAGTCCATTTTGTCTGATGTCAGTTAATATGACCACACCAGTTTTCTTTTCCTCTTGTTTTTAGTTTTTCTAATGATTTTTTCCTAGTTTTATTAAAAAATAGAATGATTTTTTAAAAAAATGTTTTTATTGATTTTTTTTTTTAGAGGGGGAGAGAGAGAGATAGAAACATCAATGTGAGAGAAATACATTAATCAACTGCCTCCTGCACACCCCCTACTGGGAATTGATCCCGTAACCCGGGCATGTACCCTGACCGTGAATCCAACCGGGACCTCTCAGGCCGTGGGATGACACTAGGGACAATGCTCAGTCCACTGAGCCACACCAGCTGGAAAGACTGCAGCTTTTTGCTTGAGCTATATTCTTGTACTACATGGAAGTGCTCACAAGGGGAAGCCTGTTAAGAGTGGATCTCATCTAGTCACACTTTTCTTCAAGGTCATATCTGCTCCAATTTCTGCCTGACTTTGGTTGCTCTCCAGTACTTTCAAGCAATTGCGCGCGCGCTCTCTCTCTCTTATCTATGATATATATATATCTTATCCAGAGTTTATCACCATAATTGGCTAGAGGGGTCAGTCCAATATAATAGCCCACCATTATAGGAAGCAAAACTCCTCAAGTTTTCTATGGGCTTCCACTTGCTTCTCTCAAAAAAAATTTAATAGTGCACTGTTTGTGTTGCCAGCTTCAGGTTTGGCTTTCTCATGTAGTCTGTTATCATTCATGTATCTGCTTTCCATCCTCCGAAATTCTAATGGTGATTTCTCCTCTGGGGACCAGAAGGAAGAAGGGAGGGACATTAACTGAGAAGGCGGCAGCTGGAAACCTTTTTTGAAAAGGTTGCTTTCATTGCACTGCTTCGTGAGGGTGCAGAATCTTCAAGTCCATGGGCTTCAAGTGCTTGTGAATAGTCAAACCAACAGGGACAGTCTTGTAAAACACAAAATAAGTGCTCGTGAAATAGGGTTAACACGGACAAAAGCAGCAAATGTAGATTGACTTGACAATTTATAAACGAAGCAGGACGTGATTCGGGCTGCATCGCCGAGGAATGAGTCCTGAGAGTCCGTGTAGATCTTTTCCCGGGGCCTCTGTGTCTGGGGCTGCGTGTGACTCATTCTTGCTCTGAGCCGGGGGAGTGAATGAGGGCCGTACAGGGGCAGGGGACAGGTGCTGGGCATCTTCAGCCTGGGATGCAGAGAGGTGACCTGTCTCGACACAAAACCACGACCAGTGTGGGAAGGCAGGTGTGAACCTGGATGCCAGGTCCTGAGCTGCTGGGAGGAGAGGGTTGCTTTGGAAACTACAGCAGGGAAGTTTAGTACAAAGAGCTGAGAGCACACTTTCCCCTGGCAGACCAGACACTTGGGAAGCTATTACAGGTGGCTCCTGTGGCAGATGGCTTAGTTCCACTGGGGTTTGGACAAACGAATGAATGACAGAAGTCTGTTCCCCCTCCCAAAAAAGAGAGTGTGACGCTTCAGACATAATGACACACATAGAACCCTTAATTTAGACACTGAACAGAGTATTATGCTCTTACTGAGCTGAATGGAGAGTGGGCAGCTTGGTGTAGTAGGAAAAGCTTGACCTGCGATAACATCTGGGTTCAAATCTTGACTCCTCAGCTTACTCACTGTGTGACCTTGAGCAAGTTCTGACCTTTCTCAACCCGACAAGGTTCTGGTGAAAGTCAAAAAGTCTGTTACTTAATCTCCAGTAGGCTCAGTGAGGCAAAGGTTAGCCTGAGTCCTAAACTGAATTATCTGGGTTTTTATTTAACACATGTTTGCTGAGCCCTGTCAAATACCAGGCTGTGTGCATGTATCTCCCCTGTTCTAGAAAGGCTCATGAAGTGAAGGCGCAGTTCCGCTCCATCCTGCAGACCTTCCTCAGGAGGGCGGGAGGCTGTGAAGGTGAGCGTCCCTGTGTCCTCTGCTGGTTGCAGGCGGTGTGCATGATGGGAGAGAGCACCCGAGTGCCACCCTGGCAGGACCACCTGACCCCATCTCAGCAAACAACCCCCACTTCCCTCCTCACCACGGTCCTAATAACCGAGCCAACGGTTTCACAACCCACTGATGATACCAGATGGTGATGATAGGGTTTTCAGCCACTTCTGCTTTTCATTTACTCATTGCTGCTGAGAGTCTGTGGGTGCCCAGCTCCGGGACAGGAGAGCTGAAGGTCTTTGGGGGAAACGGAGAGGGTGAAAATGAGCGACACCGTGGGTATTTGAGGTTTACTGCCCTCCTACAAAAAATTGTCTTCCTAGATTCTGAGTGCCTACATCATTATGATGATTTATGGTTACCTCAGATCCGGTTGTGCCTCCTCCAGCCAGCAGTGTTCCCTGTCCCTTAGCCTGCGGTCCCAGAAGTTCCATGTTGTCAGTCTGATAAGCATATAACCACTGCCAGATGACCTGTAGCATCTGCCAGTGATGACTAAACCTACCCGTCCAAAACCAGCTTTTAAGATACTTCAGTAGTATTCACATATATTCTTGGCCTGTTCAAGTTTCCTTTGGTCCAGCCTTGAACTGCATTGTGAGCTTCTGTTTGAGTTCATGCCCAGCTCCTTTCCTCCAAGGCCGTGATGTTGGGGGGAGGGCTGATTCCATCCCTCCTCTCACTGTGTCCGCCATCGCACTCATTTAATGTTGACCCTTGTTCTTTCCTTTTCCAGAACTCACATGCTGCGTGTCAGACTGAGCTATCCCTGTTTCATCCTATAATCCAAGACTTGCTACACTGTCCTGCTGATGTTCACGGCCGTGCCTGGGAAGGAGGCGCCCCATTCCCAGGTCATTTCAGTGGGAAACCTCCAAGTGTGCCCCATGGAGACTCGATGGGGCAGGGAAGAAACTGTAGAAGTGCATGTCCCAAAGCCGAGTCTCCACGTGGGTCATTGTCACTGCGCTTTCCTCCCAGAGACCTCGCTGTCCCAGGGAGACCTGCCCGAGAATTAAGGGGCTGCGGGAGCCACTCCGCCTCCTCCCTTCTGCGCCCCACCCGGCACGGCGGCTCCTGGGGCCGCTGCCCTGCATGCGTGAGCTCTGCTCTGCTGTGAGCTGTGTGGCTGTGCACAGGAGGGTCCTGGCGTCTTTCTGAACGGATTTTTCTTAACAAACGCGCCAGTGTTCATGCAGTTCACAATGTTTCCCTGTCCTTGCTGTCACTGTCCCTGGCTTTTTCTCAATCGGCTTCATAGTTATTTTTGTTAATGGGGGATGTTCCTCTTTACCTCCTGCATCATATATTTGACCTTTTTCCTTACCCCTCCGAGGTACAGAGTGACCTAAGGTTTTGAAAAAAAGATAAGAAAACTGTCTTCGGTAAGCCTGTGAACTTCACAGTGTTTGTATTTTGTCACTGAAGAGAGGTTGGTGTTCTACTTTGTTCTGCTTGGTCCCAGACAGCTCCCATTGGAGCAGGTGTTCTGACCGAGCCAAGCATGTGTATCACTGTGACAAGCCACTTCATACTGGCTGATCCCCGTGTGGCCAGACCGGCCGAGGGGAATTGCAGCCGGGTTGCTCCTTTAGCAAATTACAGATCACCTGGGTCTGTTTTAAGCCGATGGAATCTGTTTGCCAAGGAAGATGAAGTGAGAGAGGTGTGTTTGCAAGTGAGTCTGTGACTAGGACACCATGAGTCCCCACCCTTCCGGACCAAATGTTTCTGTGAGCACATGTGCCCAGGCCCCAGGAGACCTGCCTGCAACCTGGTCTCACTGGCTGGGGCTCCTCCTGTCTGCTCTCAGCACCAGCCCTGGATGGCATCACAGGCTGGTGCTCTGCAGCTCTGTGCACACAGCTGCAGGGACAGGGCCTTAGTGTCCCATTGGCTCCCCGAGCAGATGCGAGTCGGCTACTCCAGGGCCCTCTCTTTGCAGGGACAGGCTGCAGGGCACCGGGTCACAGCACTACGAGAGACAACTGGAGTCTGGCCTCCCAGCTGTCCCTGGGGTCTGCAGCTGGGAGGCAGCTGGATGGCTAGCAGTAGGTGCCCCAAGAGGTTGCAGGACAGAGTGGCTGCAGTTGAGTTGTCCCCCCACCCCCAGTCCCCAGGCAGAGTGAGGAGTCACTAAAATGGCAGCGCCGCTCGAGATGTCCAGATCCTGAGCTGGGCTCCACTCAGCAGTGGGGACGTGATGTGTGCCGTCTGAAGGCGATGCTTGGAGCGTGAGCTGCCTTTTCCTTTTCTGGTTCTGCAGTCACGGTGGCTTCTCTTCTGAGGAGGAGTTGGTTCTCATCTCAGGCTTTTGCGGGGGTGACCTGGGGACGTTCTCACCACTGCCAACTCTTGGAGCTATTCTGGGTCTTGGCGTGGGGCCCTGAGGGTGGGCCTGTGTCAGAGGCGCTCAGAGAGCGGGTGGAGATGGCAGGCATCGCCCTCGGGGCTTCCCGAGAGAAGCCCTCATCAAAGACCCAGAGGGAGTGGGCAACTGGCTCTCCACATCACGAGGACCGCCGTCCCTCTGTGCCCTGCCTGGCTTTGCTGTCGCACGTGGACATGAGATGCTCCCTCGCCCGCTCACGTTCCTCTCCACCCACGTGAAATGTGACAGTCAGTCAGAGAAACAGCGAGCTGCCCGTTTCCTTGTCTCTGCCTCCTGGGAGAGGCCCTCCGTACCAGCCCAGGAGATCTGGGGACTGAGGCCAGGCCAGGTCTGAAGGAAGAACAGGAGCCCCCGCCCCTAGTCCAGGTTACATTTAGCTTCGGGACAGGTGCAGCTCATTTTGAGCCACGTGTACCAAGAAAGCTCTTCCTTCAGCTTGTAGTCAGAGCTGGTTCTACAGCCGCGTCCTCCTACGGGGAGGATGTTGACTAAGTTCTGGGGCTCTCACTGCACCTCTGGAAAGTCCCGGCCCATTCCAAGGGAGCTCTCCAGGGAACAGGAAGGACGCCCACGAGCCTCTGACGTTTGCCCCTGCCGTTCTGAGCACTTGGTGCGGGGCGGGTTTCCCAGCCATCCCCTTTCTGGGGCCACCGTGTCACCACTGTGTGCGTCATGGTGTGTCACCTTGTGCTGTGAACCTGTGGGGTGGACACACTGTCTGCATGGCCCAGAGCCGACATGCACAGTGGATGTGTTCTGAGCCTGGTCCGTGCTCCCTTGGATGAGATCCCAGAAGTTCTACTAGTCATCTTCCGTCTCCTTCTCCATCATCACCCCTGAACCCCCGATTTCCTGTCCTAGAGGGGGTTAAAGAGGAGGACACTAGACTGGTGTTTGAGCGTACCTCTCAGAAGTCCACTCTGCCCACAGCATCCAACCAGGAAAACAGAAGCCACTCCGAGTATTTAAAATGGGTTTTTTGTTTGTTTGTTTGGTACGTGCCCCTAGCAGGAACCAAACCCTGGACTCTCTGGTCCACAGGCCGACGCTCCAACTGCTGAGCCAAACTGGCCAGTGCTAAAACAGGGGTTTTAATCCAGACAGTTGTTTAGCACAAAACAAGTAAAGTTGAGAGGCCAAACGGCAGCAAGGAGCAACCCAGAGATGATTTGGAAGGCTGGTGGGACACGGGACAGGCTGCGTTACTAGAGCCTGGGACGCAGGGACACCGGGAGGAACCTGGGACACAGAGGACCTGTCTCGTGGGAGCTGCAGCCACAGGAGGCACAGTCCTTGCCAGAACCGACTCCCCGGACAGAGACGGGGAGAAGTGGCCTGGTTTCTCCCTGGTGTGTGCCTTGCAGATTTCTACAGGGATCTCTTGTCAGCTACACCCAGCTGGAAGCCAGCTGGCCGGTGGGCCTGGGACAGGCAACCTGCAGCGGTCAGCACCCCCCTACTCAGAGCGGAGCAGAGGAGGGTCTGACAGTAACGGGCCAGGACAGGAGTGGCCTTGGTCTGCTGTGTGTCATGTTCAGGCCTGGAGTTCATGCCCCATGCTGCCTAGAGTTCGCAGTGAGGAGAGACGGAGGAGCTGCCCCCAGGTTTTTGTAGATTATTTTTCACTGTACCTAGAGAGGAAAGTGCTTTGGGGAGGGAGGGAGAAAGCCTTTCTTCTTAACAGTTGCCCCATTTTCCGCTGGGGGAATCTCCCGTCTAGCAGCCCCTCCTCACCATGCCCCTCAGGAAAGCTGTGTCCCAGTTATCTGCCCCCCTCCCATCTCTGTGCCCCAGTCTCCGGTTTCCCTGCCAGAGAACGGTGACCCCGACCATGCATCAGTGGCCATGAACATTCCCCCAGGACAATCCATTCAGAGAGCGGTATTACAGTGTGGACCGTCTGTAAGTAGATGCCATCTACTGATCAATTTGTATTGTGTTTCCAATAAATTTCTGCAAATTATGCCTGGTTTCATGCTCTCCTTTGCTGGGACGGAGGCTCCGCTGTCAGACTGGGTGCACCCAGCACCCCAGCCCTCAGCATCAGGTGCTCCCGGTCTCAGGTGCTGCCTCCCCTGCATAGCTCTGAGGGCCTTGGGGAGTCATAGGCCAGGCCAGTGAGTCTGATGCCCCCTCCCCCACCTGCCACACTGAGTTTCTCAGAGGCCTTCCCCTAAGGTTTGCATTTTCTTCCACTGTGTCATAAGCCAAACGGAGGTTTTGTGAGGCCAGGTCACTCCAGTAGGTGGCCTTTGACCCTGTGTCCCCCAAGCCTGGTGGTGTGAGGAGCAACAAGCAGACCTTTCTCCATCGACCACTTTGCACGGCTCTGCCCAGTGCCTGTCATGGGACATGTGCTGAGGGGGTACGCTGTGCCCTGTACACAGGGAAGGCTCCTGTGCCAACAGCGGATGCAGGAGCTGCGATTCCACAGACGGGAGCCCAGCACCCTCTCCTCAGCCGTCTTCCTCGGGCCCGAGAGTCAGAAATTAAAACGTCTGAGTTGACTTAAAAGGTAAAGGGAGTTGGATTCAAATGCCCACTATTCTCCCTTCCTTTCCCAGGCTCCAAGTGCTGCAGCCTGCTCAATAAACATTATTCGCTATTAATTTTTTTTATTTTATTATTTTATCCTCACCCGAGGACATTTTTCCATTTTTTGTTCAGATAGAGTGGGAGGGAGAGAGAGAGAGAAACATCGATGTGAAAGGGACACATCAAGTGGCTGCCACCTGCACGACCCAACCAAGGCCGGGGACAAACCGCAACCGAGATACGTGCCCTTAGCGGGAACCGAACCCGGGTCTCTCTAGACCGCAGGCCGACGCTCTAATCACTGAGCCAAACCGGCCAGGGCGCTATTGCGTATTTTATTGGTTCCGACTGTTTGACCGCAGTGTAGACTCTGCTTCAGTTTTGTGCTGGGGCCATCGAAGGCTTACTGGGGAAGTATGCCTGTTTGACTCTTGCTGGCATTTGTGACAGACCGAGGGACTGTGAGACAGATAGAGATAGATACAGAGATGGCAAGGGGGAGGGAGGGAGGGGGAGAGAGAGAGAGAGAAGGCAATGCAAGCTTCTGTGAGGAGTTTCCCTGGAGAAGCGAGACGTGCACATGCGAGGTCCCTGGAGAACAAGAGTTTGTGCCAGCACTTGGAGGAGTTCCAGGACCGAGGACTCGGAAGGTTCTGTGGACGCAGATGGAGCTCCTAAGGTCGAACACAGCGGCCCGCCACCTCCATGAACCCCTAAGGTGCCCCGTGGTTCTGGGTGTCTTTATTAAGACTTATTATCCTGACTCAAATATCTGCTTTCTGGAAGCTGAACTGTAGAGGTCAGAGTGTCCCAAGGTGTGCCAACTTGAAGGTCCACTGCTGAGACAAGATTTTTATGTTCAAACTTCCTGAAGAGGATTCTTCTGGCTAAGTTCTTACCTTCCATTTGTTCTCACTGCAGGGGGTCGCTGGAGGAAACCGTGCAACCTGCAGGGACTGTTGCTACCTGAGGTGTGGGTGCCCGACTCGCTGGGTCACGTTGGGCTGCTTGCTTAGTGGCCCTTTTCATATGTTCTTCAGGAGCTTGTTTTCTTATTTTCAGAACCAGCCATTCCAGTCCTTTGTCACTCTAAATGTTCACCGAGCCTGTTAAGAATCCCTTCACCAGCCTTCCCCTTTGCCCTGAGACCGACTGTATGTAATGGTGCCTTCCCAACAACCCCTCCTGGGACCCGCATGCTGAATCCCTTCCTCCCTGAACCCCTTGCAGAGGACTGTCCCGACTCAGACCAGACTTACTAGCTATATGACCTTGGGCAAGTTATTCGACCTCTCTGTGCCTCCGTTTTTTCATTGGTAAGATGGGATAATAGTATCTACCTCATAGGACTAAATGGATTATAAAGTGTAATTCAGGGCCTGGGACAGAGTGCTGATTGTTGTTCTATCATCATTTTCTCCCCTCCCTCATTTTCACCTTCACCCCCTCCTTCTCCCACTACTGGATTTACATTTCCCCATCCAGTCAACAAAACACAGAACAACCAGACCGAACGCCTGCCCTCCCTTCGCTCCACCTGAAGCTGTTGGCGTACCCCTGTGCTGGCGGGCGCATCTGTGGGAAGAGGGAAGAGTTGTCTCCATTGCTTCAAATCTCATTAATTTCTCAACCCATTACAGTACTTTATGGCTTCCATCCTGCCCCTGCTCCCACCCACTCGCTGAAATCGCTGTCGATAAAGGCATTAGTGTCCTGAGTGCCAACCCAACGCTGTCTTCAGTCCTCGCACTGGAGTTTTCTTGAGCATTTGAAGCTGTTGTCATCGTGTAACTTTTCTGGTTCACGACACTGACCCCTTACTCCCCACCCAGAGAAATGCTAAGTAACACCCAGGTACTGCTCATAGTTACCCTTTCTGGGTTCTTTACAAAGGTGACTTCCGATAGCGTGGTCGTCACCTGTGTACTTCTTCCCATGTGCCTCGGTTTCAGAAGCAAGCACTCTCTTTAGTTTGGTGTTTACATCCAGTGCATTTTGTACAGTTAATACATACTCATGAATCTATAACCAGTACAGAACATGTTTTGCATATTATTAAATTTTATATAAATGACAGCCTATCACTTCTTGAAAAGCTTATGTTTATAGTACCAGGCAATGCCTTGTTAATCCAGGTTGTCAGTCCAAGATGCTTGAGCAAACGATCAGATGCACACTTTAGTTTTCAGATCAGCTTTCTTCAGCATGCAATTAGGAGTTCTGAAAATGCTTTATTCTCGCATGACGCACTTTGCAGCCTCTCTGGGTGTTTTATGTTTGGCTTTTACCCTCATAAAAGGTACCTCTATTCTGTTCATCTTAATGGGCAATCTCTATACTTGGGCAAAGAGATTGCCTTGACTTCTTTTATGTTCTTCTTACTGCTACATTCCTGGTTTTCTTCCTATGAAAGGTTTCTTCTGGGCATTTTACCGGGGTCTTCCTTTGTGTGGCTCTTACATGTGGGGATTTTTTAAAGGATGATTCTTAGTCTTCTCCACCCCAGGTGACCCCATCCATTTCCATAAGGTCAACTCCGAATGAGTAAGAGGAAGATTCTGAAATCCTACTTCCAGCCTGAAGTCTGCTTCTGTACATGTTTACCTGGAGGTCCTCCCAGCCCCCCCAGCTTGTTTTAACTCTGCTCCTCCTGGATCTACCCTGTGTTCTCGGTGTGTCACATCCCCCGCCGTCCAGCATCGCCTCTCTCTCCACCTGGGCTGTGCCTCACTGCTCCCCTCCCCCTGCTGCCTTGATTCGGGTTCTCGCTTGGAATACAGGCTGCTTCCTGCTTCGGTCGACTCCACACCCCCTCAGCAGTCTCTCCATCAATCAAAATGCAAAACTGGTCATCTTTGACTTCTTAAAATCCTCGTGTATATTCTCCTTCCTGCCATACTGATTGTCTTGGGCCTGACCCGAGCTCCTGAGCCGGCAGGGCCCAGCCTGCCTGTCCTCTCTGTCTCCTAACTCTGTGCCTGGGCTTCCTCCATTCTTGCCTCGGAGATCTCTTCACCCCTTCCTGCACAGAGTCTCTTCACAGCTCTGTGCCCTTGTTCATGTTCTTCCCCACGCCAGGGATGCCGTTCCTTTCACTGCTTTCCGCACCCTGCAGGACCCAGCTCTCATGCACTGCCCCGCTGACACCAGGGCAGTTAGCTCTTCCGGTCGTCTGTGTTCTCAGAGGTTCACTCTCCCTCAGATACCCTGGATTACCCTGGCTTGGGCTGCATTTGATCCACTTGCAGGTCTGTCTCCCAGGCTAGGCCAGGAGATGCTCGAGGTCAGAGTCCCTCGTCTGCCTTTGTAGCTTGGTGTCTGGTACTGGTGGGTGCCCAGTGAGGGCTAGATGATTAGTGGCTTTGCGCTTATCAGCCCAGCCTGCCTGCTGTCCCCCTGCACAGGCGTCCCCGGAGTAGCGTCATGAATGTCCCTCAGGGTGACAGCAGGTTACATTAAGAGAAAGAGAAGAGAGAAGGTGCTGTTCAACATTCACCCTGAATAGTGCAGCCCACCCCAGGGACCCTGTTGCCATTTGGAACCCAAATGTAGGAAGTGGGGTCTTTATTCAGCCTGCCTTTAGCTCACCTCATACTGGCACACACATTGCCCTCCCGTTTGCAGAAAATCCTGCACTTGTCTGCTTTCTCCTCCTCCTCCTCCCCCTCTTCCTCTTCTCTTCCTTCTACTCCTTCTCCTTCTCCTTGATCCTTTCTCACCCCCCACCCCATAACTGGCAGCATGTGCTGGGCGTGGGGGCTCCATGAGAAAGGCTCAGTCCCCAGCCTCCAGGAGCAATTGGGCCCTTTCATGACAGTGTCTGACTTGGGAATTCCAAATCCCAGGCTGAAATTGGGCTGGCCCAGGCTTGGCCTGCTTCTCCCCTGGTGGCAGAGGGTGGAGAGGGAGTGTCCCTGGGAGTGGCTCTACCAGGCAGAAAAAGGCAGCAACGAGAGTGGAGGAATGGGGCAGGGGTCCTGGGGGACAGAGAGGCACTAGGAGACAGCTTGGAGGGGCCCCGCTGACGCACCCCTTTTCGTCAGTTGGTTTGGGTTCTTCTCTATGAGTTTCTAAGAGCTCCTGGTAAGTTTTCAGAAAAGGGAAAGGACTAGAGATACACGGAGGAGATGGGTTACAAAATCGACCTGACCCTTTGTCCCCCAGGCCACCTCCCTCCTCCCGACATGTTCTCTGCATCTCCCACCTCAACATCCACATTGTTCCTGGACACTCCTTAGAGTGTGGGGTCTCCTGGTGCTTCGGCCTCCATTCCTGAGGTGGAAGAGCTTCCCTGTCCACGATATGAAATGGTTGGACTCAGTGGATTAAACTCCAAAGGGAACTGGGGAGAGGATTTGGTCCCCATCATCAAGCCTCGCCCCTGAGGCCTACAGGCCTGTCTGGGGTGACGAGTAGAGGACCAGTTCCGGCCCCTCCTGTCTCCCCCGCAGGAAGACGCATGTGTGTTGTGGGGAGGTGTTTATTCTGAGGTGGCCAGGGCTGAGGATACACAGGGGTCAGGAGGTACATGTTTGGGGCTTCAGTGACCTCTAAGCAGTCCTTTGGGAGCCTTGAAGGCTCTGTGCCCACCCTGTGACTTCCCCTTTGGACAGCAGGATATCCACTCTCCCCCTGTACCCCCCCCAAAAGAACAAGACCCTGCTTCATGCCAGGTTACACACCTGTGCCTGAGGGACCCAGACGAGTTAGCCCAGAGGGTCTCAGACACCACAGGCATATTGAATAGAACAGAAAGGGGTAGAGGTGGGCAAGATGGTCCTGGGGGAGAGCTGTGAGCCACCTCTACGCCCTGAGGCCCTGACTCTCACCCTGAGCCTCCAGGGTGGTGCACTTGGGGCTAAGAACAACCTTAGGGGGTGCGGAGCTGGAACTGAGCCAGGAGCCTGGACTGGGTGGAAGTGGTGACCTCTGCATCATCTCAGGGGAGCAGGGCAGGGCCCCTCCGTGGTGCTTTGGGCAGGACCTCAGGAATTGTAGAAGGGAAGCTGGAGGCCAGAGAGGGGCAGAGACCTCCAGGGACCCAGCGGGGCTGCCCCTCCCGTGAGCCTGAGTCCACTCCCGGGCTCCAGAGCAGTGTGGAAGGATGGTGCTCTGGATGTCTTCCCCACTCTGTCCCCAGACTTTCCCTTCATCTTGGGGCACCCTGAACCCTATTCATGCCAGGACTGGACAAACTCAAAGATGTTTATTCAGGTTTCTTTAGAACGGCCAAGACAGGCTTGCATGTTCAAAAGGAAGTTTATTAGCATTGAAAGGGGCAAACTGGAGATCACAGAAAATGCAGCGTCCGATTTCTGAAGCAAGACTTGTGCTGTCACAGCAGTCAGCTCTGACCTGGTGGGACGGTGGGCCGAGCAGCCCTCCCTCTGCGCTGGAGCCCCTGCCGCCCTGCCTAAGTCCACCTGCCCTCAGACTTTCCTGCGCCCTGGGGATGACACCAGGGACACAGCTCTCTATGGGCCAAGACTGTTTCCCTGCCACCCACCTGGCTCCTGCAGATGTCCCTTGTCCAGCTGGCTGAGGCACCTTGCGCTGGCAACAGTCCAGGAGTGATCTTGTCCCTCCAAGCCAGACAGCCGCACTGCCGCAGACCCCAGGCCCGGGAGGGCCCTCCCTTCAGTCCAGTGAGTCCTAGGTGTGCAGCCTCCCTGGGGCCTCGGCCTTGCTGGGGGGGGCCTGCAGGCGGGCAGGGCGCTGGGAGGAGCTGTCATCGCTGGCCGAGTCCTGCGAGCCCTGGAGGAGGCCCAGCAGGGCGCGGCACTGGCGGAAGAAGCTGGGGCTGGAGAAGCAGTAGAGCACGGGGTCCAGGACGCTGTTGAGGTAGGTGAAGGCCAGGGAGCCGTGGAAGAGCTGCGAGCAGACGTCCAGGGCCCGGCAGGCGTGCAGGCGGAAGGCCACGATGGACGCCACGCCGAAGAGCACGCTGGGCAAGAAGCAGACGGTGAAGACGGCCACCACCATGGCCAGCACGCGCATGGCCCTCCGCGGGCCCGCCTGGGCGCCCAGGCCGCGGCGCCGGACGGTCACCCCGATGCTCACGGTGGCGAAGAGGATGAGCGCCAGCGTGGCGAAGAATTCCAGTAAGTACAGCGCATGGTGCCAGCGGAGCCCGGCCGAGGACTGCCTGCCCAGCCGGTAACTGAGGCAGGACTGCCTGGGATGGGTCATCACGAACAGGTGCCCGTTGAGCAGCAGGAGGCCCCCCCAGAGGCCGCCGGCCACCTGGGCCGCTGCCCGCCCCGAGGCCCGGCTCAGCGCGTGGTGGGGCCACACCACCTTGAGGTAGCGGTTGAGTGCGATGGCCGAGAGGAAGACCACGCTGGCCGAGCGGTTGGTGGACAGCATGAAGAGGTTGACCTTGCAGGCGGCGGGGCCGAAGCGCCAGGTCTCGCGGTGGAGGTAGTAGTCCACGCGAAGGGGCAGGTTGACGATCAGGAGAAAGTCCGCCACCACCAGGCTGACCAAGAACACCACGTTGGACGACCAGGGCCGCGAGTAGATGCAGAAGACGAGGAAGGCCACGCTGTTCCCCACCAGGCCCAGGATGAACTCCAGGCACAGGACTGGCACCAGGAACGCAGACACCTTTGCAGAAGAGGTTGGAAGACAGGGGGCTGGTGACCCCAGTGCAGTGGTGGCCATAGAGGGAGAGAGGGGAAGGGGAGAGGGAGAGCTCAGGTTATGAAATTCCATATGCTGCCTGGGCTGTGGACCTGAGAGAAGTTTGCAGCCTTTCTGCTTCTGTGAGCGTTCCGGGAGGAGTGTCCTCTGCCCGCTGGCCACCACAATGACTCAGTCTTCTAGGTCCTCCTCAGTATCCTCGAAGCCACTGAGAAACACCCAGGGTTCCTGTTTACTAGCAGCCCTCCCCCGCCTCCCGTCCCCATACTGTATGATGTCCCTCCCCCGGTCTGGTCTCCAAACCCAGACTGGGGGATGGCCTCTGTGCAGAGGAGGAAGCAAGGTTCAGCGGGGGTGAGATGGATGCCCAGAGAGACCCTGAAGTGGGAGGAAGTCCACCTGGGGTGAGGTGGGGGGGAGTGTATGCAGCTCCGAGTGGTCAGATGTCTGCTTGCTAAAGACAGAATCCTGGCCAGTTTGGCTCAGCGGTTGGAGCGTCGGCCTGTGAACCAGAGAGTCCCGGGTTCTTTCCCACTAGGGAAAAAAACACACAAAAAAACACGGCAGAAGCCGGTCCTGGCAACTCCTAGCTCTCAGGATCATGCAGACCACCCTGGACAACCTCGCACCCTCCATCATATACATGGGCTGGGTGGCCGCCTCCCTGCCCCCACTAGTTCCACAGCAGGGACTGGGGGCCGGCTAGGATGTTGTTTTGAGAGAGGGCGATGGGGAGTCCAGTCTCCACCTGACTGAGAGCTTGGCCTGTGGGAACCAGCCTGTTTGTGCTCTGCCAGCTGCTGTAGTTACTCCCAGATTCCTGATGATTCCAAAGTCTGTGATGGTCCCAAGTCCATGTACATGATGAAGTACATCCCACCGGCAGAAAGCTCCCCTGTCAAGTTTTACTGCCATGATCTGGGGACCTGGAGGCCTCTCCCCCGAACAGAACAATCCCAAGAATCCTGGAGTTCCTCTGTCCTCTCTCTACCCTCTTCTGCCTCCAGCCAGCATTCGCTGAAGAGAGGGGAGGCTGGGGCTGGCTTTGGACCAGGTACAAGTCCTGCTGTCCCACTGCGTGGTGTTCTCATGAGCCCATGTGGCCAGGCCTGAGGGCAGACATGAGGGCCTGGGGCTCCTGATAACCTGGGACAGCACCAAGGGAGGCTGTGGTTCAGGTTCCAGGACCTGACACCAACCCTTGTCAACTGACTGGTCAGCAGTGTGCCATGTACTACGGACTCTGCCCAGGCCTCTGGGTTACAAACACAGTGGCCACTGGCTCCTCTCCCCCAGATCCCCTTTCCTGGGCTCCCGTCTGGCCGAAGCAGAGGGCAGACAGGCTGTGTTCAACTACAGGGTGCATGCAGGGTGGCGAGACCACAGCCTGAACTCTGAATGCAGACAGGCCTCGGCTGGGAACAGAGCTGCCTGCTTTCGAAACCTCTCTGAGTGTCATCTTTAAAGTGGGGTGTGACCACCTCCCTGGAGAGTTGTGAGGATTAAATGAGATGTGTGTAAAAACTTCTAGGGAATTCCCTGGCACAGAGCTAGTGTTCAGAAAAGCAGATCTGATTTTCATTATTTTCTGTCTCAGATGAGGCATTAAGGACAAACTCTTCTCGTGGCCACCTGTGCCCTGCCAGGGGCTTCCCTGGACACTCCTGTGTTTTCTCAGCTTCTGTACAGAGCCGCACGTTGCTGCGTCCGGGCCCTCGCCAGGCCTCGCCCTGACTGCCTCGGACTGTTCGCAGATCTGGGGGAGGCTGGTCGTGTTTTCCCTTTGCTTTCAGGAGAAGAAAGCCCTTAGGAGTAGAGAAGTGGGTGAAGGTCTTGATAGCCCTCGGGGCCAGAAGCCCCTTCTGCAAAGTCAGACCCTTCTTTGCTCTTCAGTGGAGTAGACCAAAGCAGTGAGCCACCGGGAGGGGGTGGAGAAGGCAGGGTTCAGACCCCGAGCTCTGCAGAGGAAGCTTGGACTATAATGAGGGATGTGTTCTGTCCAGATCCAGCTTCTTACCCCTACGTGTGACCCCTCATCGACTTCTCATTGAAGTCCCAGGATTCCAAGCCCAGATCTCCCTTGACCGGTTTCACGTTTCATTTCTACCCACTGCTGCTTCTGGGGCTCCCGGCTCTCCTGACCCCAGAGCAGGCCCAGGAACCACCTGAGGTTTGGACGGCGTGCCTGTACGCAGCGGGGGGCAGGGGATGCGGCCAGACACTCCTCCCTAGCTGCCGGGGTCCCCCTGTGGCTTCATGCCCTCCACGGGCTCATCACAATCTTCGCGTATGAACACTGGTTAACTCTGGGCGGGGGATTTTGTGTTTTCATGCATGTTTTCTACAATTAGCAGAAATCACTCCTTTTATTGGGGGTAAAAACCTAACAGATACTATTTTTTTTTTAATTATGTAAAAAGAATGTGTGGGGGAAAGGCAGAGAGACGACATCAGCTGTGCCCCCAGGACAACCATGGGAGCCTGTGTGGACCAGTCCACACGCACATGGTGAGAGTCACTCTACACGCAGGGACACCCCTAACAGACCCTCCACATGTCCAGGTCACCCGGTGCCTGGACATCCAGATATCACGGGAGCGCATGGGCCAGCCGCCGACCACAGCCTGTGTCCTTGCAGACCCAAGGCACTCGTCCCCAGGAAGCCTTTATTGAGGGCCCGCTCGGTGGCGGACAAGTGTCGGAATGAGCCTGTGAGAACAGAGGGAGGGAGAGGCCGCCCAGCCTCAGGGACAAACCACTGGCAGAACCAGGTGGGTCAGTGGGCTGAGAGCTGTTAGAGGAGAAAGGGAGAGTCTGGCATGAGCGGACGGGAGGAGGATGGACGACAAGGATGTGCAGGGCCCGGCAGGGGCCCTAGTGACTCAGCAGCAGTACACCTAGAAGCAGTGGGGGCTGGGAAAGTAGTCATCAGGGTGGTGCTGGGACTCGTTCTGTGGCTGCTCTGGGCCCACAGCACGATGATCACCCCAGGGGCTTCTTGCGGGCGGGGTCCTGGGTGACAGCCAGGGCCACAGAGCCTTGCCCTCTCTCCCAGGTGTACCTGTGGAGACACGGGCGCAGGGTCAGGCAGGGCTGGGCCCTAAGGAGCGCAGGAAAAGCAGGGCGGTGCCACAGCTGGGGGAAAGGCCTCCTCTCGGGGTGGACTCACTCCGCTCCGGCTGGCACCAGGAGGCTTTCATCAGGGGTCAGGCTCAGGCGCTGCCCCCCCACGGTCACCACGGAGGAGCCCTCCTGCGGGGAGGAGCAGGAGAAGCAAATGGAGGCTAGCAAGCCTCAATGCCTGTTCGAGTCCCGAGTCTGCCTTGGCAAGGAGGCCCTGGGAGCGCAAGGCCCAGGGCAGCTTCGTCCCCAAGGGCAGGACATCAAGCCACCCTCTCCTGCAGGCCCCACTTGCCAGCTGCCACAGCCACGTGTCCACATCCTGCCTCGGGCCTTTGCTGCTGCCTTGTCCATGGACGATCACCTGGTAGGAAGTGACACATCTTCTTGGTGCTATCTGCCCCCAAAGGAGATGGCCTTAAACCTGGCCCCCAGATTCAGGCCTGTGTGGGGCAGGGGTGGGGCCTGCAGTGCAGCCTCATCTCCTGCTGTGATGCAAAGACCAGGACTTGGAGAGAAGGCTGCCCCGGCTGCAGCCTCCCGGGTGCCTCCAGCATGATGGGTGCTGCCGCCTGCCCCCTGGCATCACACATGCCTGCCCTCCACACACTGAGCGTCTGCTCCCTCTGTAGCACGTCCCGACTACTGCTGACCCACAGGAGGGCACACCTGCGGGCACGCTAAGGGCACACACACCTGTGCATGGCATAGTGCTGACCACGTGGCCCACACACACGATTCCCTAAAGGATGCCCGCTGGCCCAGAGCAGGACTCACTAGGTATTTGTTGGCATAAACCGGAGCAGGGGGGAGTAGGGGTGAGAAAGAGGTGGTGGGCTAGGCCAGGCAGCCAGCTCAGCGCGGAATGACGTTGTGAAGGGTGGCAGGGCTCTGTGGTGTGCGCCTGCTCTCACAGTCCTGCTAAGCTGCAGTCTCTAAGGGCAGGTCTGTGTCCAGTGAGCATCCCTCCAAGGGATCGTCTATGTCAAACTGCAAGGATGTGCCAGTGGCAAATTGTAAGGCACCAGCGAGCTCAGGCCTTCTAGCAGGTGTCCTTACCTCCACGTTTGCCCTCCTGATCCTGCCTCACACAGGGTACAGTGATATTCGTAAAACACCACTCTGGCCTCATCATCCCCATTCTTCACTGCTTGAGAAAGCTCTGTTGTCTCCTGGATAAGTCCTTGAACATTGCCTACCCAGGAGACTCACCAAGACCTGGGCCCTGCCTGCTCCTTGGGCCATCTGGCAAGCAGGCCTGTTGCCCCCATTCCCCGGCCCTGGCTTTTGCCAACCTCAGCTACTTTGCAGTGCCAGCCTATTTCAAGTTTCCGGGCCTTTGCTCATGCTTCTCCATCACCCAGTATGCTCTCTCTTCCTTCTGCAAATGCCTACGTTCACTGTAAAATGCAGCTTATACATCCTCCTCCAGGAAGCCTTCCCTGACTTCCATCCTTTGTCCTCCAGTGGCTTCCGAAAGCTTCTCTACCAAATGAGGTATCACATAATTGTGGTGATTGCTAACTTGTCCATTTACCAGACCATAAACTCTTTGAAGCAGTGATTCTATCTTATTTTCCTACCAAAGTCTGAAACATAAGACAATAAATGTTGAATGAAAGAAGGCCGGCTTTGTTTGGGTACCTCTCTGTGCACCCAGCCCTCACCCCAAACACCTCTCTCCCTTCCAGCTCCCAAGGCTGTGACCGGCCAAAGGCTCAGGACTCCCAGCAGGGGGATAGCCCCAGAAACCTATCACTGGAAGAGGCAACACCCTACTCTGAAGGCAAAGAAAGGTTGCTTGGGACCACGTAGCCTCCACGGGCCTCCACTGGCCAAGCCGTCGCTTTCTGAGTCAGGGAAGAAACAGGAAGGCTATGCCCACATCTGCAACCTCCAAACGTGTGTGTGTGTATGTGTGTGTGTGTGTGTGTGTGTGTGTTTCCCACTTCCCGGGCTTGCTGGGTGGATGCCCTGGGTGGCCCAGGGCTGCATTACCTGGGTCTCATAGGTGTCCCCAAACAGGCTGAGGGGTGTGCCCCCTTGTAGCTTCCTGCGGTGGCCATCCAGCCAGGCCTCCAGGGACATGGGCTCCATGACAGATCGTGTGCTCAGGGGGAACGGTGTTTCCTTGAGCAGCTGGTCTGTATCCACAGCCCAGCTGTGGTCAGTGTCCTCTGGCCCAGCCCTCCCAGCCCCAGGAGACCCGGTTCCCAGGGCCCCAGCTCTCAATTGCAGGAATGGGTTCTGGATCCAGCCCAAAGCCTAGCAGCCATATAGGGGGTACTGTTTGGTACCATCGTCCTGTACCTTGAATACTGGGCAGAGTAGTCAAAAGGGGATTCCCTGGTACCCTGGACCGAGACCATCCTACTCTGGGAAGGGAGGGAGAGAGGGAGGAAGGCGGTTCCAGTGGCCTCACCTGGGATGGGCTTCCCTGTTCTGTGCTGCTCAGAGCTGAAGAACCTGCAGGGACAACAGGGAGGGGGGAGAGGGGCCAGCGTTTCCAGCTGCCAGGTCAGGGACACACACACACACACACACACACACACAGTCATACACTCTCACACACATACTTGAGGGGCCCTCCTATGACTCATATGGAGCATCTGCGCTCTCCCAGCCCCATGGAGCAGCCTCCTTCCCTCCCCAGGGGGTCTCCGGCCCCGGCCTCCCACCCTGGGAAAGGTCAACTTTCTCCCTAGATCCCATGGCTCTAGGCTGGCAGATGCTCCATGGAGCACTTCATGGACAGGTCTGCTGTCCCAGCCAGACCATAGGGCCTCAGGGGCTGGGGCTGGAATGGGCCTCACTCCTGGATGATGGGGACCAGCTGTGTGCCAAGGTCCTCGCAGTAGAACCACTTCTCAAACAGGACATCCGTGGTGTCTCCTATGTAGTACCTGCCAGAGCAAAGGACGGGCAACCAGTTTCCCATCTGGGCAGCCTCAGGGAAGCCTCCCTGGGGCCCAGCTCTGAATGTTGACCTCTGGGCCTGGCTGGCTCCCCAGAGCTGTTGCCTGCTTCATTCACCCTGTTAGCGCAACCTAGTGGCCACAGCTGGCTCTCGCAGAAGCAGGGTGAGTCCCCAAAGTGATGCGAGTGCTGTTATCCGCCCCGTTTCATAGGTCTTCTTGGTTCCCAAAACTTGACAATTTACAAAGTGGATAGAGAAGAGGCTCAGAGAAGCTGGGCAATTAGGCAGGGTTTACACAGCCTGTAAGTGGCAGAAGCAGGCAATTTCTGGGCGACAGACTAGAGACAGTCTTAGAAGCGTAGAGAGCATCAATGACAAGTGTCTTCATTTTCCCCAAAGCAGAAGCTGAGGCTGAGCCTGAACCCAGGGGCTGTGGCTGGAGGCTCGGTCTGCCTGCTGGAGCTCTAGGGCAGAGCACACGGGACCTTAAGGAATCAGCATGTGGAAGACGCCCCTAGATGGGAGAACCTTCTCCTTTCAGGGTCGTGGATGCCTTTGAGAACTGGAGCGGCCCTTCTCAGGGGGAAGGTCCACATGCATGTACACGCAGCCTCTAGTGGACTCCCTGAAGTCCACTCAAACCTCAGCCTGGCTCGGGGCGCTGATGTGAGGGGCACCTGGCACACCAGGGCCATGCCTCAGGCCCCTGTGTGTGTGGCACATCTGCTGACTGAATGCCTAATCCCCAGGCTCAGCTCCCAGCGTCAGGCCAGCTCTGCCTGCTCCTCACCTCCTCCCCCAAAGAGAAGTGGCCCTGCTTACAGACACGTGGCGCATCCTTCCCACCCAGCACCCTCGTCCTATCCTGGGATGGAGCTGGCCACCATAAAGCTCCGTAACTGGACCATGACGTCACCCAGAAATTGCCTCCAGAGTGGAATTTTAATGTTGAGTCCCTGGCTTTTATTAAAGGTCAAAGCAGCCAGATGAAATCTGTTATTGAATTTGCTGTAAAAATGTTATTGAGGAAACTGTCCTCTCCATCATGAAAGACTCCCTAGATAAAGCCCCATGGGAAAAATCTCTTTCAGAGTTTAAGGCCAGACATCTGCTTCTACAACGGACATTATGCAGGAGGTTAGCACGCAGTCATTAGCGTGGTGTTTTTAAAAAGGAATTTAATAGTTTTGAAGAAAAACTCATGAGTTTCTTAATGTGTAAAAAGCCCGAGCCCATGTTTGCAATAAGATTGCAATGTTGGAAGGCGCAGATACGCACAGAAAAAGAGACAAGATGGAAATTGAAGCACTTTGTTAGGTCTAATTGGTGGGATGACCATTTTGTGCGTTCTCTTTATTGTTTGTTTGTTTCTGAGATACCATTCACATCCCATAACATTCACCCGTCCCCTGACAGGTCATTTTATGTATTTTACATCCTCACCCGAGGACATTTTTTTTTTTTTTTTGCATTTATCTTCAGATAGAGCGGGAGGGAAAAACGGAGGAAGAGAGAGAGAGAAACATCAATGTGAGAGAGACACATCAACTGGTCGCCACCCACATGACCCCAGCTGGGGCCGGGGACAAACTGCAACTGAGGTTTGTGTCCTTAGCGGGCACCGAACCCAGGACTCTCTGGTCCACGGGCCGACACTCTAACCACTGAGCTAAACCGGCCAGGGCTTAACAAGTCATTTAGTTTTGTCCACTCCTGGTACTTTTCCAGATTCCAAGAATGACCGTGTATGACTTTGGTAATTAGGAAAAAAGGGAAGCGTTAAAATAAAAGGTCCATTGTAACAGATGTTGGTAACTTGTTGGGAATTTTGAGTTTTCTCAGTTAAAACATACAAAAAGTAGTTTCGCTTCCATAAACATCTGTGTCCCCAGAGCCCAAGGCTGCGCCCTCCTTTCTTAGGATAGTAACTGGGGACTGATCGGAACCACACTGGGACTTGGCTCTGGAAGCAGAGTGCCCGTCGCGGCACCGTGCTTGTCCCCGCTCTGGGGCCAACTCCCACTCGTCCCCGGACTGCCCTGGCTCGTCCCCTGGGTCTCTATCATGCCAGCTCTGCCATTTTCTAGCAGACACAACGTCTCTTCACCTGTGAAGCACAGACGCACTGGTACCGGCCCCACAGGATCACCGTGAGATTTAAATGAACACATGCAGCGCCTGGGCTGGTGTCCGGCCCCAGCAAGTGTTACACAGGTGCCCCCCGTGCTGGCTGTGGGAGGCCTGGGGGCGCAGACCCAGCAGCGGGCTACCCTGGTGGAGACGGAATACCTGGGGGCAGAGGCTGGGCGAAGCGGCGGTGTTGCAGTGGCCCTGGGCCAGGTGGGTCTGACCGCGGCATCCTCCCCACCCCCCAACAGACCTCCGTCCGTGCAGGAAGCACAGGCTCTCTTCCAGCCAGAGGTCTGCAGGCCGAATGGGCCACCAGAGGGCCAGAGAACATCCTGCACCTCCATCAAACCCACCCCACCATGGGCCCTAACCTCTCCCCACCACCTGGCAATACAGGGTCCCCGCGAACCCCCCATTCCTGCTCAATGGCCGGAGAGTGCTTTCTTGCGTCTACCTCGTCTGTCCTGTTCTGTGTGGCTCCCACCCCAACCCCACGCATCTCTGCCTCAGACCCTCATTTACCTGAGCCCATCTAGCTCGGTTCTCAGCCGCCTCCGCTCAATCACCAGCCCCACGGTGTTAGCAAATCTCTGTGGAGAGTGGGGGATCCCAGCAGGCAGGAGGAATATCTGCAGCGGTGGGACACGGTGTCAGTAAGACTGCAATCCCCTCCAGAGACCGCAGTGCCTGCAGCATCCTGGGCCCCCCAGCTGACCCACGGGTCCAGCCCCGCCCACCTCTGCTCAGCCTTTACCGGAACGGGAGGAAATGTCAGGCTGTGCTGAGGATGGGGTGGGGCAGGTCTGGTGGGCAGGAGGGAAGGAAAGGCGGGAGGACAAGACCTTGACCAAAGCCAGAGTGAGTGGACCCGACAGGTTTCTGCCCTGGGAGCCCTTCACCTCCCACCCCCGGGGCCCAGCCTCACCTCTCCCTGCCGAATGACCACGTCCCGCTGTTTCCCGCGCTCCAGCACTTTGAGAACCATGTCGCCCTCCAGCTGGTAGAACACCTGTGGGACAAGACAGCAGACGGGCTCGGACCCTCCCCCTCCTTCTCCCTGCGTTCTGACTGGGAACCCTGAGAAAGTTCCTGGAGTCCTCTGAGTTTATGAGCAGCTCCGCCACTCCTGCCCTGAGGCCCCAGTGTCCCCTGACACGTGTCACAGACAGAAGTGCTAGTGACACACAAGGATCACATCTTGACATGCAAGTGATGACCAAAGTACCCAGGACACAACAGCCGCTGTGTGGCTTGGGGCAGGAGGCTGGCTGAGATGCTCGCTGGAGACTTCAGTGACCCCTCAGCCAGGTCAGGAGATCCACCCATTGACTGTCCCGGAGGCTGGGCAAGCACTTTCCTCTGCATGATCAGAAATCTCCGCAAGAACCTCCAAAGCTGTTATTAGCCCCGTTATGCAGAAAAAAAAAAAAAGAAAGACTGAGGCTCAGAGAGTAAAGCAGCTTGTCCAAGGTCAGTTGGTGAGTCCTAGAGCCGCAGCGTGGAGCCGAGTCTGCAGGGAGCTCAGAGCTGTGCTGGCTCCTCTGGCCACGGTGACGCCTGGCACGGGCAGGCTGTGCCCGTCCAAATCCCTCCGGGGGCCGGCCATGAAAATGGTGGGCTCGGTGACACTGGAAGCTGGGGTGGGTTGGAGGTTGTGAGGGAAGGAGTACCCACCTCCTCCTGGTTTCCTGCATAGGGGCTCCTATTGCATTTTCCCTATTCCATCCTCAGTCCCTCATTAATGTGTTTGCTGAGACCACCCCATGGAGCTGGGAGGAGGAGGCAGACACTGTCTACGAGTCACACATTGCATGGGTATTAAAGGCCCCAACCAAATAATTAAAGGGGTATTAATAATAATTATTATCATGTAAGGAGTTAGAGGAGATAGAGGTCCTTGTCACAGCATGTACTAAGAAATCAAGCTGAGCTCAGGGAAACTAGAGAAATGTGGCTTCACCGTCTGCTACGAGGGACAAGGTAACACCCCCCCTCTAAAGGACATTTGTCAAGGGGCAGCAAAAGCCTTCATAGCTCATGCCCCTGTAGGGTGGCCAGAGGGTTTTCTTTGGATGTAGGACCTTCAGTGCTGAAAACCACAAAGTCCAGGACAAACCCGGACAGCGGGCTCCTTACACTCTTGAGCTGGTAATTCCGTCGCCAGGAAGGTGGCAGTAGTGAGTCAGAAATGCACTTTGCTCGTGTGTACATACCCGGCTGTATGGCATAGTTAAAAGCATAGATTCCAGCATCACCTGGCCCTCAGCTCAGCCAGCCCTCGTGTGTCCTGGGTCAGTTCGGTTTCCTCATCCATAAAATGACAGTATCTACTCAGAATGTCACTGTGAAGTCTGCCTGGGACACTGCACACAGTGTACCCACCACAGAGTCAGCACTCACAGACCTCCGGCGATGGCAGGGTTGGCAAAATGATGCTAACAGTAATAACGGGAAATGTCACTATTTTATGATAGAAACAAAATATGGAACATTATGCAGCCATTAAAAACTATTTTTGAGCCCTGGCCAATGTTGGTTGGAGCGTTGTCCCACACACCAACAGGTGGCAGGTTGGATTCCTGGTCAGGGCACATACCCAGGTTGCAGATTTGATCCCCAGTTGGGGAGCGTTCAGGAGGCAACCAATTGATATTTCTCTCCCACATCGATGTTTCTCTCTCTCTCTCTCTCTCCCTCTCTCCCCCTTCTTCTCTCTAAAAGAAAAATTAGTAAAAAACAAAACACAACAAGAAACCCACTATTTTTGAATAACTGTTAAGAGGGTGGGGAAATGGAAAATGCTAAAGTTATCATGTTAAAGCAAGACTCAGAATCGCATCCAGCAGGATTCTAATTCTGCTGTAACCGTCCACGCGTGAACGACTGTTCCCGGTGGAGGGATTCCCTGAGTGGCAGGATGATGAACAGGGAGTACATTTGTTCTCTATATTTTGCATGTTTTTTACAATAAACAAAATTTACTTTTAGTATTAAAAATAACCCATGCAAGTTATTTAGAACAAATAAGAAAAAAAACCCAGGCTATTTTAGGGAGAAATTTTGCAACTCCCCGCCACACACACACCACCCCCCAGCTGGGAGGAAGCCCGTGTGTGTGTGTGTGTGTGTGTGCACACGCGCACATGTAGGGGGTTCTTTCATGGTAGGGGGAAAGGAAAGAAGGGCCCAGAGAACCCTAGGGAGGGGCCAGAGCCCTTAAGCCCTGCGAATATCAGGGAAAGCTGGGGTGGGGTGGGGTCTAGAGTGATGGTCTGGGCCAGATTCAAACCCTGTGCAGGCAGATGAAAGGTATCAGCAGCCATCAAACAAAAGCATAGAGAGAAAGGAAGCAGAATCTCCCTCAGTCCTGTCTTTCTGCCCGGAAGTTGCGTTGTGATGAGGGGCAGGCCTCGCCTGAGCAGAGGTGCAGATCCAGGACAGCAGAGAATCCCAAACAGCCCTGAGCAATCCAGCAGGAATTATGCTCCATATGGAAGTAAATGATGTTTGGGGCCTGTGCTGGCTGGAGGATTAACTGTCCCTGTGGGCCGATACTGACTTGAATCAGACCTCTGGTGCCTGGAAAGGCCTCACAGGCAGAATAGGCGCATGTGTGCGTGTGTGTGTGTGTGTGTGTGTGCATGTGTGTACGTGCGCGCGCAGAGGACCGATGCATACTAAGCATCAGCTGTGCCCGGGCTCTGTGCATATACTCTACATACACTGAATCCCTCCCCCAGGCAGGGGCAGTGTCCCCATGAGCCACAAGGAAACAGGCTCAGAGAGGTGATGTGATGTGATCTGTTCAATATCACATAGTCAGGGAGAGTCAGACTCCCGCCCGGCCGGCTGATTCCCAGCCCAGGTCCCCGGGGCCCCAAGGGAAGGACTGGGTAAGTGGAATATGTGTGGTGAGCGAGCCTGGGCACCTGAAGGGCTGTTGCTGAGGCCTGAGCTCAGCGAGGAGGAGAGTTTGGCTCAGCAACTCCCCTTCTCTCACCAGGCAGGAGTCTGGACCCTGGGGCCAGGGTGGGAGCCTCTGAAGACAAGTTGGGGGGCAGGAGAGACCTTGCGACTGGCCCCATTTTCCCCACCGTGGCCACTCCCAACCCAGTCCTGTCTTTTCTCTGAGGTGTTGGCTTTTCCTGCTGGTTTTTCCTAAAGAGGAAAATGGTCTCTGGCGAGCTGTGGTGTGAGAAGGGGGCGGTGTGGGGAGAGGTGGACCCTGGCAGCGTGAGAGGGGAGGGGCTGGCTGGCTCTGCCTAGGGAGGCTGCTGCTCCTGCTGGCCCGGTCCTGGTCCTACCCCGCTGCCCCCACACAGGTGCTCAGCAAATATTTGTCCAGTGAGCGATTCTCCCTGCTCCCTCCAGTCCCCAGCTGTGGCTGAGCTGCCAGCAGTGGGGGTGAAGGCTGGAGACCAAGCCGGACTCTGGACCTCGAACTCCAGGGCCAGGCCTCCAAAGTGATAGGTAGGGGGACCCCCAGTGATCCTTTGCCACCAGAGATTCTGATATCTGGGGACACAGCTGTGTTCCTCCCTAAGAGGCCCCATCTTTTTCTCTGTTGTTTATTTACTTTGGGGAAGGTAGCACAGAAACACAGTTCAAAATTCAAGGTACAAAAGGGTAGTTAGTGCAAATTGCAAATTCCCCCTCCCACCTGCCCCTGCCCCCAGTGCTGGTAACTGATGTGTCTTATGCCCTCCAGATAAGGAGGGGCCTTCCAGCCCCCACCCTTCCCAGAGAACTTGGCTCCAGGGGCCAGAGTAGAGCACCCAGGTCCCTCTCAGCAGCTGGGTCTCATTTTGGAGGTCAGCCGTGCATATTCAGGCTTGGAGGGAAGGGACCAGGGCATAGCGCCTGGAGCGTGGACAGCCCCTGGGTCCAGGGGGTGCTGCTAGCAGTGAGGCCTCTCCTACCAGAGAGGGTGGGCTCTTTCTGAGGATGGAGCTGTCAAAGGTGTCACTGGTGCCCACACCTTCCAGGCAGCAATATTGCCCTGTGATTTTGGTTGAAACCCCTTCACCCATCAGCCATCTGACCACCCCGTCCATCTCCTGTCCACAGGCTACGGTCCCGGGCTGGGTCAGGGCAAGGGCAGTCGGCCGACCTACCTCCTCACCCTCCTCGATGTGGTAATCCTTCCTGATGTTGGGGCCCCCGATGAACATGACTTTGAGCTGCTCCTTATGCCTGCAGTGGAGGAGAGGGGAAAGGTGCTGAAGACAGGAGGGGCCTTGGGGGCCTGGAGAGAGCCTAGGCACACCTGGGAGAGGTAACAGGGCTGTTTCTGCATCACGGTCCCTGTCAGCTTTTGAGGTTTGGCCCCCTCCACTCTCATCCCAGGGTGCCCGTGTGTATCCGAGTGTCTGCACCTGTCTGAGACTGTATCTGTGTCTTGGTATATCTGTATGTGTGTATGTCCCTCTGTGTGTGTCCCCCACATCCTCTGGACCAGTAGGAGGAGCAGCAGGTGGTGGATCTCTCTCTTCTTCAGTCAGATCTCTGAACACAGAAGAGCAAACTGGAGGCCCCACCTCCTGAACGGGTAACATGACCTTTATCTACCTCTGTCCCCAGAGCTGTCTGTTCCCCCCAAACTGCTGGTTGAAGGCTGTGAGGCACCTGTTTTAAGAAGTGGAGGGGACACGGGCAGGGGCCCTCAGGCAGGCCCTGGTGGTGTGGGAGTGGTTTTAGGGAGCAAAGGATCAGGATGGGGCACTTTGGTCTTGGCTGAAGGGGTGCCAGAGAGCCTAGGAATTTTTGTTTTGTTTTGTACTCATCTTTACTGAGATATAATCTAGAACAGCAATTTTCAACCTTTTTCATCTCGTGGCACAAATAATTACTAAAATTCTGCGGCACACCAAAAAATATATTTTTTGCTGATCTGCCTAAAAATAGGTATAATTTTGATTCATTCACACTAGACAACTATTGTTGTGTTGGCTGTTGTCATTTTTTTTTATTTGTCAATCTAAGGGAAAAGAGGTCAGTGCCCCTGAATAAATAGACAGGTACTGCATGTTTTCAAATTTCTTGTGGCATACCAGTTGAAAATAGCTGATCTAGGTACATACGAAAAATTCTTGAATGAGCCCACTCGAGAACTATTTCAACCCATCAGAGTGCATAATTCAGATCATATCCTTCCTCTGCTCAAAACCTTCCAGCAGTAGCCTGGCGGTGTGGCTCAGTGGTTGAGCATCGACCCATGCACCCAGAGGTCGCCGGTTCGACTCCCGGTCAGGGCACTCAGGGCACATGCCCAGGTTGTGGGCTCAATCCCCAGTGGGGGGCATGCAGGAGGTGGCCAGTCGATGTTCTCTCTCATCGATGCGTCTATCTCTCTCTCTCTAAAAATCAATAAAGAAACAACAACAACAAAAAACCTTCTAGCAACTTCATATGTCTCCCCTCCCATTCCTCCCCAAATCCATATATTGGAGTCCTAACCCCCAGTACCTCAGAATGTGACCTAATTTGGAAGTAGGGTCATTGTGGATGGAGTGAGTTAAGCTATGATGAGGTCCTACTGGAGTAGTGTGGACACCTAATCCACTATGACTGTTGTCCTTATAGAAAGGGAGATTTAGACACAGACACAGAGGAGAGCACCACGTGAAGGTGAGGGCAGAGTGGGTGATGCCGCAGAAGCCAAGGATGCAAAGATCACCACTAAACCAGCAGGGGCCAGAAGGAGCCTGCAGCAGCCCTTACCAACACAGGGGTACAGCCACAGCCCTACCTCGCCCTGCGGCCGCCTGGTCTGCCTGGGCCTCCACCCCTTGTGTGTTTATATTTAGTGGCTGCCTCCTCCCACTGCAATGTCAGATCCCGTCAGGACTTTTGTCAGTTGCTTTTCCACTGTATCCAGAGCAGTGCCTGGCATGTAGCAGGTGCTCAGTGAACATCTGCTGAGTGACTCAAGGGAGGGCCTGCGTTTTGTGATTACTAAAACTGGGGCAGCACTGGAGGGCTGGGGTGGGGGGCCTGGAGGCGGGGCAGCCCTCACTTTCCAGGAAGTGACAAGAGTGGAATCAGAGCAGCGGCCCAGGGACTGGAGAGGAGCAGGTGGATATGAGACCATTAGGAGATAAACTGGAGGACTGAGAATGAGACCATGGACAGGGACGAAGTGGGGAAACAGTGAGGGTGCCGAGGCTTTGGGGCGACACTGCCTGTTAGCCCTGGCCGTGCTGCACAGTGACTGAGAATGTGGACTTTGGAATCAAACTCTTCTATGGGCTCGAGTCAGGACCCTGTCCCACACTAGCTCCCTGGCATTGGGAAAGTTACCTATTAGAATCCCACTCCCTGGGGCTGCTGTGAACTAAATGAGATGATGTTAAAGCACTTGGCACAACCTCTGGCTTGTCAAAGTGTTAGTGATTGTAACTGTGTGCTTTGAGGTGTCACCCTGTTGGACATGTTCTGTGGACACTGCAAAGATGGGATTGTGAGCTGGGGAGCCCAGGGAAGGGGAAGGAGGTAAAGGGGCTTCAGGGGAGGGCCTGCGAAGTCTGCTGGAGAAAGACTGGCTGGACCCTGATCAGCCCCGTTGGGTGATATGGGCAGAGGTGGCTAGGGAGGGCCTGGGGGGAGTGTGTGCACCGCCCCCCACCCCATGCCTGCCAGTAAAGAGGGGAACTGAGAAGAACAATAAATCACGATCCTCACAGAGGCGCTCATCTTCGCCCTCTGCCTGTGGCTTCCTGGATAGAGTTGGGTGTGTGGGCTGTCCCCAGGCCTGGGTTCTACTGCAATTCTGGAGTCAAACTTCTGAGGGTCACTGGGGCCTGGAGAGCTGTCTCTCGGCCTTGGAGGGGAAGGGTGCCACCTGCTATCTGCATTCCTCCTAGCCTCGGTTCACCCGGCCATGCTCAGACGGCGGGGCCACAATCTCCGCGTCAGAGTCGCCAGAAAGAGGAACAGACAAGGGAGGCCCAACCCGGAACAGCCCACCCTCCTCCCCTGAAGACACCGTGAGGATGACAGCCCCTTCCTGCAGGCTGGGTCAAGGAACTGGAGCTGGAGGGGAGGCGGAGGGGTGCAGACGGAGAAGAAGGAGGTGAGGACAGAGAGCAGGAGAGGCGTGCCTGGGACTCACAGGAGCTTGTTGCAGACGGGGGGCAGAAAGGAGGCCCGGTTCTCCTCCACCCAAGTCCTCACTCTCACCGGACGCTCCATGCCTGCCCCGGAGCTGGGCTCCGAGCGGTGTCCTGCGCCGTCCGAGGGGCGCGGTTCCGCCCAGCAGCCTATTGGCCGCCTCGTTAATCAGCATCCCGTGGGGCAAAGGGCGGGGCAACCCCCGGACACCTAGGTGGCTGCGGCTGGGGACCCCCGCGGTGGTCCAGTGGGCCTTTGGTCAAAGAACCCTGGCAACGCCACGTCGTGGGGTTTTGCGCCAGGCACCGGCTCGGCCCCACCGTACATGGCGGGGAGGGGGCGCCCCTCACACCTGCGCGGGGCTTGGGAGCTTGAGATAGGCCTAAGACACAGGATCGGGAACCATCCTGGTCCTCTGTCCCCAGACTTTCTGCCTGGGCCCCCCAAAAAGACTGTAATGGGGAGCAGACGGCTCGCAAACCCGAGCGCCTGAGTCCAAGGGTGCTGGCACTGAATCAAGCCTGTTTCCCCACCCGAAAAATGGGAATGTCTACCCAGCCCTCCAGGGGTTACACAGCGGCCGCCTCAGGCCGATTCCTGTTATCCCCTGTCCTGTCGCTAGGACGGAGTCAGGCCAGAGCCCACAGGGTCACTGAGGGCCGCTGGCGGCCCTGCGTCTGGCCTGGTGACGGGAGTGGTTCGGGGCCCCTGGCGCACGGCAGGGGCCCTCCGGGCGGGGCTGGGGGGCGCGGTGCCCTCACCTACATTTGCCAGCGGAGGCAGACACGGATAAGGTGCCCGGCACTGTTCTAAGCTCCTTCCATGTCTTAGGACACAGGACCCAGGACGACTCAACGAGTCGTGTTTCAGATCCTAGCCCTCAGGAACCCCGGGGGCCTGGGCCGCGGAGGGCGGACTAACCTGTGCTAGTGTTCCAGCCCCTGTGACATGCTCTGACTCAGGTACCCTGGGGGCACAGGAGGGACCAGGCACCTGCTGTGGGGGAAGGAGGAGGGGGGAGGATAATCGAGACCTGCTTGCTTCTCTTTCTTCCGGACTCCAAATTCTCAGGAAAATTGCTCGCATGTGTTGGAGAGGGTCAGGGGAGCTGGTAGGTGGGGAGAAGGAAAAAACTCAGGCTGACGCCAGAATCCAGACTATAAAGTTCAAGAAATTCGAAACTTCTCCAACTCCCCCCCCCCACCCCCCATCTTTCCCCGCTCCTTGCTGCTGGTGTTCTCAGCACCCTCAGACACGGGACTCTCCCATGCCAATCAAAACCCAGACAAGGAAACAAGATCCCCACCCACCTCCGCTGGGAAAGACCCTCCTGCTTCCTCTCCCTGCCCCCACTACCTTTCCCCCTTTCTCTTTTGAGTTATTTATTTAGATTTTTTTTAGCTGAGCATTTCTTTCTAGAATGTTGTTTGGCACCAAAATAACTCAAACCATATTTATCTTTCTCATCTACAACTAATCAGTGAGATGTAAACAGTGACAAACGAAACATCAAGGATCTACAATGTGTTAGGTTTGGACGTTTGTTAAATGGATGGGTGGGTGGGTGGATAAAGGCATGAATGAATTCACACTAAAAGGAAACATGATTTCAGACCAACAAATGTTCAGTTACATGGTACAAAAGAAAGAATGATAGTTTCCCTGTATTTTAATCTACCTAGTCAAAGAACGTGAATCATTGAGACCACAAGTGAATGTTTGGGGTCTGAATTATCCAGATGAATCCTAAACACAGGCTAAAAAAAAAATCTGCTGTGTAGTCACTGTCAAATTTGCCCTCTGGTTTGTGTTGAGTAAATAAATCACCATGTCTGTTCAGTCGGCAAGCCTCCTACCTTGGGTGTTGGGCACCACGTGACTTCATTCTAGGAACATTCTTCAACCTAATATTCCAGTTCACTGTTTGTTTTCAATTGAGTTGATGTGTTCTACAGTTCATTTCATCTACTGAGATTCTTTTGGTTAATCTTCATCCAAGGATTTTTTTTTTTTTTTTTTTTTTTTTTTTTTTTTTTTTTTAGAGAGAGTGGAGAGGAGGAACAGAGAGGTTGACTCCTTTATGCACCCCAACTGGGGATTGAATCCAAAACCTGGGTATGATCTGGAATAGAATTAAAAAACTTTGGTGTGCGGGATGATGCTCCAACCAACTGAGCCACCCGGCCAGGGCCAAGGAAACTGTTTTAAACTGTAAACTCTTATAAGTGAAGATAATATTAGCTGCTGTAAAAAGAAAAAAATTCCAATGCAAACTCAGTGATTTAACAACCTGGGCATGTGCCCTGACCAGGAATCAAACTGGGACCTCTCAGTCCATGGGAGGAGGCTCAATCCACTCAGCCACACCGCAGGGCTCCTCCCACATCTTTACCCCCCTTGGGTCTGAAGCTACCTAATGGCTGCTCCCAGGACCCCTGGAAAGACTCCTTGGCTCCTCTACACATCAGGGCTGAGATTTCCTTCTTTGATCTAATTTTGCCCTCTTTTAGTCCCTCCTTGAGACTTCCTCTTCCTCTGTTTTAGTGTATTTATTTATTTCACATTTATATCTTTCATTTATTGGATTTGGTGTTTAACATTTCAAAAACTGCCACCCTGTTTCCCAAAGCGGCCGCACCCTTCTATCTTCCCACTAGCAGTGAGTGAGGGTCCTGCCTTCTCCACATCCTCACTCTGGTTTGCTCTTGTCTGTCTTTTTGGCCTCAGCATTCCCATCCTCACTTACCGCTCCTTTCCAGCAAGTTCCCTCCTCAAGTCATCACCCAGGAACCTTTTCTGCCTGGGATGGAGTGCAGGTGAGGAGCCTAACTAACCGCAGCAACAGGAGTAACACCCTCTCTGGGTACCACTTACTGCAGGATTACTACATGGGATTAGAAAACTGAAAATGACGCTCAGGGTAGACGCTGTGCTCCCAAAGGTTCACAGCTGGAAAGTAGAGGCACCAGAATATAAACCACCTTTGCCTGTGCCTTCCCATTGTGCAGTGGTTTCTGCTCCAAGAGTTCTGCCCCGATCGACTCCAATGGGGTCACTGTGTATGGCAGTGTTGGGGGGCTAGGGGTTTGGTTCTAAAGTTAGTAAAACAAAAGTTCCATACAGTTAAAATCAAATTAGAAAATTCTTTATATCACTGATAAAGTACAGTGTGCAGCAATTCTCAGACATAAAAGCTTGGGGATCACTGAGCTAGAACCACCAAAGGAAATAACAACAGGAAAGTCTATATGGCAGATGCTTAGACATTTGGTCTGTTCTGTTCTCAAGGTAACTCTCACATTTCTGGGTGAATAGAGGATGGGTGGGTTATTCTCAAAACATTCCTGTTTGCCCGCAGGGTTACTGCTTTCGGTGTGATATTAAGCCCTTTGTGCCAGTTATTAAGTTGCTGTCTCTCAGCCCCAAGCTCACTTTGTGTACTCTATATCATGATGCAGGGGCTGGCATTCTGCAAACTCCATTTATGCGCTGCCAGCTGGTTCCATCGGGCCCTGCAAAACAGAGGTAACTGAGGGAGACTGTTGCTTCCTGATTCCCCTGTCTGCCTGTGGTTCCTGGGCTCATCACCTTGGTTCTTCCCCTTATCGGTTTCTAAATCCAATTTGCAGTTTTCCTAGTTTTTGCAGAATCAATTTTAAGGTGACCTCAGTGGAGATATCAGCACTAGAAGCTGGCGTGCACTCTCAGTGGTCTGAGTTCCAATCCTGCAGAAGTCCTCCTCCGACTTCCAAGGTTTGGTAATTCAGTTTCTGCTTAGTTCCCTCAGCCTGTGGGCTGGTAGGGGTGGTAGCTGCTTCTTACAGTTGCTACTTCTGTAACACCGCAGAATCCCCCCCCCCCCCCCGCCCATTTCGGTTTTTCAGTGACCTGGCTAAATTTAAACCTAGTTAACAGTCTTCTGTATTAACCTAGTTAACAGTCTTTGTTAAATAACCGGCATGGTTTCTGTCTCCTGACCAATATACTTTTATAAGTGTAATTCTATATGTTAGGAGATTTGTTTATGGTTGTGATTTGCAGCTCAGGGACGCTTAAGTTCTAAGTCTGGGACATCAAATAATAAAAGTGGTTGGCTCTCCAATACACTGCTTCTCCAATGTGATCAAAGGTGGTTATTGGTCCGGGTGGAGCCTGCAACCTCAGCTAAGACCTACTGGACAGGGCAGGACAGGACATCTGAGGAGAAAGACCTTCATCTGCAGTGTGCTCACCGTCACCTTTCCAGGGCTCCGCAAATAGAATGGGAAGTTTATGTCTTCCTGTCACGTCACAGGCGGAAGGCCCCGGGGGAGACATTCACAGTTCAGCTCTGTTATGAGCTTTCAGTGTGGCTGATATATCTGCTACATTTCCATCTTCTCTGGCTCCAGGGCAGTGTGGGCTCTCCCCACCCCCTTCCTCCCTCCTTCCTCCCATGGAGATAGTCTACTGCTCGCCCCGTCTTCTTTCCCTTCTTTGCTGGGGCCACTGAATGCTGCTCCCCTTCAAATCACACTGTTAGACACTCCCCTCATTCTTCCTGGCATGGACCCCACACGCCTTGAACGGGAGTAGACATAAGTGGTCTTTCATGAGTCCAGGCACTGTGGAGAGTGGCTGAGCTTGACATTTCTTGTAGCCCAGGTGTCATGGAGGAATTCATACCTGCTACATACAGATGAGGAAACTGAGAAATATCAGCCAGCTCTACAATTTAATAAAAAATATAATTGAAGCCCTGGCCGGTTTGGCTCAGCGGTTAGAGCGTCGGCCTGTGGTCCTGAGAGACCCGGGTTCGGTTCCCGCTAAGGGCATGTACCTCGGTTGCAGTTTGTCCCCGGCCCTGGTTGGTCGTGCGGGTGGCAGCCACTCGATGTGTTCCTTTCACATCGATGTTTCTCTCTCTCTCTCTGTTTCTCTCTCTCCCTCCCACTCTACCTGAACAAAAAATGGAAAAATGTCCTCAGGTGAGGATGAAAAAAAAAAAAAAAAAAATCAATAAAATCCTTTAAAAAAAAAAAAAAATTGAAAACCAAAAATGATAAAATGAACTGACAAAAAAAACAAACAAACAAAAAAAAACCCACGAACGGTGGGCTAATGATTTGAACTAATATTTCATAAAGA